CCTCTGCAAAGAGAAGGATCCCCAAATAAACCAAGAGGATAAAATATACCTCTACATGAAGTGGAAATAGCGGAGAATAGTTACCAGTCATTTCTTCCAGGGGATGTTCATAGCACCAAGCAGTTATCACCGAGTGCAGCCATCTTGAAGCGGTACGTCAAAAATAAATTGACCTAACCAGGTATTAGCCCTTGCTAAATGTGGCAACTCTCAATGATTATGATGACAGAACCGATCTGTCATCAGTTATTAGACAAATTGTCCACGAGGAGATTGAGCGGGTTTTATATTCCCCTCAAGAACAAACAAAAATATCTGAAATTTAGCATATGGTGCAGCAGTAAATCGAAAGAATTCTGCCACCAATGTCTATATCAACCATAAGTTCCTCTCAAATAGAACACCCAGGCTGTTACCAATCCCTAGGAATGATTTACAACCCAGAATGTTCCGAACTAGAACGCAGTATTAGAAACAATAAAATGGAAGACGCGGCACCAATAAATGGCGGACCACTAAACGAAAACCGATCTGCTTCCACTTAATAATCAGTGTTTTCCCATCAATTTTTTTAGGAAGAATTAAAAATCTATTTGTGAAACATATATAGCACTTTATATTTAGCTTTACTAAGGTAAAACTTTGAATTCTTGAAACTGGATACCATTGACCTGCTCGTATTACGACTAATGTTCTAGTATGGGGAATATATTGTGGTGGTAGCTGTATATTTCATTTTATGGCTGCAGGCTATCAACTTACTCCGGACCATATATACAGTTGCCTGGCCATCCTTGCAGCCCTCTTTATGGCAGACATCAATCTAAAAGAGGATATTCATACGGACAAGGCACATCGGTTGGCCGGTATTGTGATCAGGGTGCACGGACCGATCTGATCTGCTCCATGGACAAGACATTACCGCCATGGCTGAATGGTTCTTCAAGGGTTATATTGCTTCAAGAATTAGTTTTTCAGTCCTAGTTGTGGCAGCGTTCATGTGAAAGATTCTGGTGCTATGGAGTATGTGTTTCTTTATTGATATGGTTAGCTATTAAGGACTCTGGTTCGAATCATTTATTTGATGCTAATTAGTTCTAATGGAGATAAATATCTCTTGAGGCCTCGTCAATTCAAACATTATTGCATATATAGATAAATAATTCTTCCTGATTTGAAATTAAACGAAAAAACATGGTGAAGGAAGACGAGTTTCTTTTATTATATAATTTATATATTATAAATTTATTGCATATAAGACAGGATATCTTATTTACTATATCCTTAACTTATTTCTGAAGGATAGTTTTACCATTGCGGTTCCTTAATAGAGAGGCTATAGAGGATGAGCTTTTCTGGTTTATATCATTTCTGCTCATGAAGGAAATATAAATTGGGATTATGTCTGGAGTAGCTGCTTTTCTTTCAAGTTATTCATTATGTGTATAATATTCTTATTGGACAGTGAGTAAATGAAGAGGGGTTATTTTAGTGAAGGCACGAACATATGTTACTTTCTGGGAGATGGGCGAGTTGGGATAAAAGTTTATATATTGTTTTAGTGAGGTGGATATTCCAAGGACTTTGTAGTTAAAAAGAATCTAATGCTTAAGCTAACCTGAAATCTATAAAAATGATAATAAATGTGTTTGTTCCGCAAACGTTTCCACAATATTTGAGTTATATGGCTTAAACTTTGCCTCGACATAGAGTGAGGTCATGGTTTAGACCATGGAATATTCAAATTTGCTCAATGACGAGTTAATTTACATATCCTACCGAGTTCGGAAAGTAATAATAATAATATATTACTTGAATTCACATCATAACTACTTCTTCTCCTCTAACTATTAACACTCTTCAATAAAATACTCCCTTGTATTAATATGGAGTAAAACATATATCAGGCCTTCAGGGAAAATTATATTTTCAAAACATATTTATTCTCTAGGTTTCGGACCCGAACACCCTTCTACAAGACTACATACTCTGTTTTCTCCTGTAGAAGGATGTTTGTTTCCGAAAGCTAGAGAATCAAAATGTTTTGAAGAGATACTTTTCCCTGGAGGTCTGATTAATTTTGCTCAATATTATAATTATTATTTATTTAAGTAACCCAGGTTCCTGGAGCGTACAGAAGTCGCCAACTACCCGGGATGTCCTTCTGACCTAAGTCTTCTTGGATTTATATACAATGCCAGTGGAAGTCCAATTAATGAGGTGTCGCCAGGCAGATTTCTTTCTTGGGAGATTTTCTAGGGATGCTGGACATATGTTGGTGATACCTAGGAGAGTGGCTGTCTGGAATCTTTGGTATTGGAAGGTTGAGCAAGTGAAGAGGAGGTGGTCTACGGTTTGGTCTTCATCTTGGCAGTGGGGGCAAGTTGGGTCTTCTTTCGATACCGTTTCAAGATCTGCCTGAATGTAACCATGGCCGGTCTTTACTCAATATTGATTTTCTCTCTCTCCCTCGGATGTGCGGCCACGCGGCGCTCGAGCTCCGCGTTTCTAGCGAGGGAGAGAGGCGGGATCGATATCTTTAATCCTTTCCAGGTATTGAAAGATAGCCCGGCTAATGAGACAGAAAATGGTATGATTTTAAATGGAAATGAGGACTTGGTGATCGAGGTATCCATAAAAAAAGAAATTACAATGGAAATTTCAAATATCAAAAACAATCAATCGATAAAAGGATATGCAAATTTTATTGCTTCGTAAAATGAAGAAAATTCAAATTGGGCAGAACGTATCGAAAAGGAATCGACTTCTCAGGGTTGACAAAAACCTAAAGCTTCAAAAGGAAAAATCCAAGGGTCTCCTATTCAATCACCCAAAGTTACGAAGGCTGAATATATTACAGCCAGGCCACCTCAGCAACTGAAAGAGCAGTAGACAATAGCAAGACCTTGTCAGGGCTAGGTCAGTAGCTGCGACCTTTGGCCAATTCTGCTTCGTTGAGTGGAACTTAGATTTCCATCCAATCGAATATATAAAGCGCTGGAACAGATGCTGGGCAAGTCTTCAGTGTACCAGCTGATGAAGATGTCCGGCCAGGTATTGGTTGGGCTGGCAAGCGTCGACTCGGCGGAACGCCTGGTTGAGAAGGGCCTCACCATTGGAACCACCCTGCTGAAAGTTTCCCATATAGGCAAAGGGCAGAAAAGGTAGTAATCGGGAATCTTCCTCTTGCTATCAAGGACGAAGACGTCGTTGCGGCGCTGCGGCCCTACTGCAGGGTTGTCTCTCTGACACATGAAATTGTGTCCAGCGGTGGCTACACCTGGACAACCGGCAACAGGGAGGCCTTTGTTCTTCTGAATGAAGGACAGAAACTCCACTAGCTACAAGCCAAGCTGGTGATAATCTCTAAAGGCGAATCCACACCCGCCTACATCACCTACGGCGTTAGGTGTGGTAAATGTCGCCGCCAGGGATATCGGCGAGCCACCTGCCCTATTAGGATAAACGGGGAGCGTCATCAGGATACCTCCCTACGGGCCCGCAACATCTAGCAGCTCTGCCGTCTCAACCGCGGAGCGTTCTTTGTCCGTTAGGCGGACCCCCTTGTCAACTTCCAGCCCTGCCGCTTCATCGCCAGCGGTGAACCGTTGCTCCAAGGGAACTCCATTTAGAGAGCCTTTTTTCCCGGCGTCGAACGTTAGGCTGTTGCCGTCACTACCAGTGCTCTCTTCGGGGAGCAGCGTGAAGACCCCTGTGCCTGCTTCCACCACCACTACAGCCGCACCTCCACCTGCAGCATTCAACCATTCTGCGCCAGAGGCTGCTCCGGCGCAGATGTTATCCATACCATCGGCCCAAAAGGACAAACCCCCTTATACTACACACTTCACCAGCCCTCCGGGATCTCCCATCATGACTCAAGCTGAACAGATTCCTCAGAACGCTGAGGAAATAGTTGAAGAGTATTTTGATAAACTGGGCGCTCGCACAGTCCTGCGCCCCCTGCGTCATGAAACGTGCCTATTAATGGAGGGGGGTCTTATTTGGTCTAAATCCCAGAGAGAATATCATTCTCGCCGAGTTCCTCGACCGTGCAATAGCGAGTGTTGGGACAGTGACCACTATATAAGATAGAAGCTTTTCGAATTCAGGACGGCTTGTGAGGCTGTATATATTTTACTTATTTTTGTTATAATAATCATCATTATTGTATATTTGTCATTATCACACTACTTAAATAGTGCGGATTGTGCACTTCACCTGTATTGACAACATGTCAATAAAAGTATGTTGATTTTCAAAAATATATTTGTCTCCCTCTCTCTTTCTCTCTTACTCTAATAATAATAATATTAATAATAGGATAATAATAAAAAAGAAACATTCGCGTCTTAATGATTTCATTTGTCATATATAGACGTTGCGTATTGCTTTGTATTAACAAGCCTGTTGTCGGATATATATTCACTGGGGAACCACCAGTGAAGAAACCATCTCATATTTACCGGAGAAAGTGGGAAAAAACGTAGAATTATAAGGCCCATCATGGAGAGGCGAAAAGGATATTGGAGATTGCTTAAACGATGAAGTTAGCAAACTCAATCTGGTGAGAAGTGGCCTCGGGGTGTTTACTTGAAGTCAGGCGTCGCTTGGATCCACGCTCGAGGCGATTTGATGATGTGGAAATATTTGGATTGGCCTTATGATACGGAATCCTGCAAGGAATTGGAAGCAGAAGTCAACTTGGATGCAATTAAGTTTCAAGTTTACTTATAGAGTAGTAGAGAACGGCGGTGGTTTCGGTTGTTTTCCTTGGAAGATCAGCCACAACATCGCGGTATATTTGTTGGATGAAAGAGCTCCTCGTGTATGTTGATAAATATATATAAAACGACACTTGAAGTTACACCGCATGAGTTTCTTTTTAACGAAAAAATCAAATTTTTATTTCAAGGTGAAATATCGACTATTTCTAACCTTTTTGGATGAGGTATGAAAGGATGAATTATGAAAAGTAATGATGAACGGAAAAATAAAAGTGTCAAGGGATGGGAATCGAACCCACAATGTTCCGCTTACCGGGCAGATGCCATGTCCACTAGGCTACCCTGGATGTATTTTTCCGTTCGTAAATGATACATAAAGTAACCTATAATACAATATAATACACTGCGGCCTGTGATTGTAAAAGGACACTTGAAGTTACACCGCATGAGTTTCTTTTTAACGAAAAAAACAATGCGGTGCGAGAATGATATTCTATCTGGGGTTTAGACCAAAGAAGACCCCCTCCCTTGCTTTGGGTACAATACCGCCCATTCTAATAGGCACGTTTCATGAAGCAGGGGGCGCAGGACTGTGCGAGCGCCCAGTTTGTCAAAATACTCTTTAACTATTTCCTCACTAATGCGGTGTAACTTCAAGTGTCGTTTTACAATCACAGGCCGCAGTGTATTATATTGTATTATAGGTTACTTTATGTATCATTTACGAACGGAAAAATATATCCAGGGTAGCCTAGTGGACATGGCATCTGCCCGGTAAGCGGAACATTGTGGGTTCGATTCCCATCCCTGGACACTTTTATTTTTCCGTTCATCATTACTTTTCATAATTCATCCTTTCATACCTCATCCAAAAAGGTTAGAAATAGTCGATATATCACCTTGAAATAAAATTTTGATTTTTTCGTTAAAAAGAAACTCATGCGGTGTAACTTCAAGTGTCGTTTTACAATCACAGGCCGCAGTATATTATATAAATATATATAGCACACACAGCAATTATATTATTAAATCAATTAAAGTAGAGAGAGAGAGAAATTATTAAATATATATCTAGAAGACTAACAAATCTATCGAGGTTTAGAGCGAATAAAGCTCTTCGTCTGGCATTTTGATCGATAAAATGAGACAAAATCATGTTGAAAAAATTGCAATCATTCCTAAAAAGGCCTTCTAAATTATGCTTTGTGCGAATATAGCCTAAAATTATTATCTGCTTACAGTTCTTGTATGTCGCCCTTAACTTTGAAGTGTGTTGTGTGTTTGCATCGAATAAAAGTTGAGACCCAAAGTGGGTTCCAGCCTGTCCAGGATCCTGGTGAAGCGCAGCGCCGCGGTAGCTCCAGCGGAGCAGGTGTAGGCCGCATCGAACGGCCTGGAAGTTTCACCATGGTATCGGCCTAGATTAACACCTGGCGATGTCCCGAGGTATTCTCCTCAACCAAGCAAAAGGTCTGCAGAGCAGCGGAGTCCGTAGAGGTGTCGCGGGTTTACATTAGGAGGTATAGCATAGGCTCATTCAGGTCCAAGACTTTTCAAGCCAATCCAGCTTGGTATGTGGGATCGAAGAACTCGGTAGGCTGCAAGAAGCAGCACGTGCATGAATCGAAGAGCCCCGAGGATTGACGGCTTTAGGAGTCTGCGGGCAGCTCGAGGATCTGTACGGCAAGCTGTGGTTGACGTTTCATGCCTCTCAAGCAGATCAACCGCGCCGATCAATCCTCCAGGAAGCCAGAGGTGTGGTCAAGCCCCCACACCGACCGCATCAGTCTTGCCTTGAGTTTTGAGATGGGGGTTTCGCTACGAAAGTAGTCCTGAAGATGGTAGAAGACCGAAATGAGAACCAGGCTTTCGGCTATTCTCGACCACTCAGCAGGTTCTTTCTCCGAGGCCACGATGATCCACAGGATGGCGATTCTCTTCTTGTTCCAGCAGATGCCCAACGGGGAGGAAGTGCGATTTTTCATCTCCCGCATTAGTCTTTGGCTTTTATTGAAGCTCATTTTGATCCCTGACCCACGCTGGTAATACTCAAATATTTTCTGAAGAATTCAAACTGCCACATCGATGGCGTACGCCAGGAATTTATCCTGACCGAGAATCTGCACCAGACGAAGCAGTAGGAATCCCATGTAGATGACAAATGGCAGACCTATCTCACCACGTTGCCACCGCTTTTGCCTCAACGTTAGAAAAAGAGCACCGGATCCAGCGTGCTAAAAGCGCACTCCAGGTCTATGGCGGTGATAGCAAGCCGAGGTATTCCTCACAGACAGTGGTAACTCATCGGAGATGTATTTTTCCCGGAATGGCGTAGCTCGGACATAATATATCTCGAAGAAGAGGTCGCAATCGTCCGTAGAAAACCCCGTAGTCCATTTTTGGCATAGCGATCGGTCGCAGTTCATTGAGATCTGGACCACTTTGAAATTTAGTGATTTGAAACATTTTCTATAGAAAGAGACTATGCCTCGCATAGATCGGACAACTCGAAGACACGACGGAAGAGAGTCACGAAGAAATCCTCGATCAGCTCACAGGTCAGGTACCCCAGCATACTGAGGATGACAGAAGTAACCTCTTCCTTGCCACTCACAGCCACAACGGTGGAATGGTCGCCTCGCTCTAGGCTGGCTCTTAGGACACAGGGTGTCGACGACCTCCTCAGAACATACAGGACGTACTCAGCTCTGAGCTCTCTTTTATTTGACCAACGCTCTCGTAGATCATTTTAGTCTATTCTCGGCGCCGCGACAGAGATCCTGCAGGGAGGATTCGTACACTTTGATTGACACAAACTAGAGCTTTGCTTGGACGAACCAGCTTGCTCTCGAGTGGTAGTCATCGTCGGCACTCCGCAAGACGCCAAGGGTCTTGATAGCACAGAGTTTATATTTGCCTTGAATTTTCTTCAGTTTCTACAATTTCCACATACTGGATATTTTCTAAAGCCTCATCAAGTAATGTCTCCAGCCTCGATCTGAGGAGCATGCGTACGATATATGATAGACGAGCCATGAGGGTATCACTGATTTGGAGTAGGACCGTACGGTGGTTAAAGTGTTTGTAGCAGAGGTTCCAGTAATGAGGTTGGAGAGGCTGGATGCTAGAAGCACTCTATCCAATATAGTCGCAATCGGACTGTAAATACTCTTTGGTAGGTGCGCGGCATCGAAGTGACTGCATGATCTTTGATATTAGTTCAATCCAGGTGTTCCGTGAGAGCTACTAGCAAACCCAACACAATGTCACTCGCAGACTCTCAGAAATATCCAGATCCCCGTGGAACTACGTGTCTTCATTAACGGCAGCAGTCCGATGATCCTAAGCTGCTAGATAATGGAAGATTTAGCGGTTGAAAATTCCTGGATGATCCCGTCGAAGGCTTCTTCGATCTTGCCCGGGCACAGGATAAAAAGACAGGAACATCAGGAGCGTAGATGAAGGCCGGGCCAGATCCTCTGGCGCCTGACACTGGAAGACTGCAGTGGCGAATCCCAATCAGAGGTATTCGGCGACGCCAGGGTATTGTCGTTCGTTTCCTGGACAAATGTGAGGTCCACTGTGTGCTGTTTCAAGAAGCAGCACAACTCGATGCTTCTAAGGCGAGCGGCAATGTCGCGCACATTAAGACTCACAAGGCGGAATGATTGAAAATCTCTTTTAAAATATCAACTAGAAGCCTCCAAGTTCTTCTATTAACTTGCTGAAAAGAAGTAGGGTCATAATTTAATCGCTGGTCGGCTTATCCTGTAGCTATCCTAAGCAAGAGTTGAAGATGACGGCTTTGGTATTATTCTTTTTCTTCAAACAAATTAGTTCCATTTTGAAAAGGGAGCTTGTGGATAGCGATCTTAGAGGGTGTTTGATTGTTTCAGGGCTTTGATTTTAAGCGTTTGGAATCGGAGACCTGGATCTTCCTCTCTGTTTGGGTTGGCTGAATACCCTCCATTTTTGGCATTTGAGTCCATCTGTATGAATAATAATAGTGTGCTGGTAAAATGAGTGCAGGCTCTGGAGCTTTGGTCTCTTTGCAGATGGCTTAGCATAAATTCACGCCTAAGTAGCTGCTGACTCGTGGAAAGGCAACTGCAATGACGATGTAAGCAGGCCCCGTGCTCTTTACATTACTTTCAAGCTGAAAGGCTGGGGATAGTTTGTCGTCCCGATTATCTTTAGAAGCAGTTCATCCTCTTGTCGCCCAGACGGGAGAATTGAAAGCATTACTCCAAATATCCTAACGTAAAGTTACTTTGACAGTCATTATTATCTTCTTGGGATGATCCGTGCTTTTCTTGCTATCAAACATTAAGACAAAGCAATTATCATTCAGGTGTATTCTACGGATTAACTTTCATCTAGGAAGATGGTGACCACCTGTAGCATGGTCTTAGGGTCAATATAATGTCCCAATTATCGTTTATGTGTGACACTCCGCTGTTGGTAATCTTTTTGGCATTCTTCTGTTAGGAAAGGGCATCGAGAGTGGATTTCTTGATCACCGGTCTATCCTCCTGCTTCCGCCTCCTCAGTCCGCCTCAGGCCAACTAGGTTCTACCCGGAGACTCCTGAACTGTATAACGTAGATCTTTTCAAGTTTGAGACCTAGAGCTATGATGTAGACTACTGGAGTAACTCAGGAGAGAAATTCCAGATATAGCTACAGGTCACAGGTCCCCGCAGCTGATTTCCTCCAGTACCAGTCGAGTATTTGGAGATCATTGTTGTTCAATGTTGCTTTCAGCCACGTTGTCTCCTGGTTGGCTCTTCCCAATCCCAGGGGTATTAGTTTAGTGACGTGGCGCTGACAGCACACCCCCGTCCTTCGAAAAAATATATATACTTTACCTGATCTAGATTTATATAGATCTTCATCCTAGAAGACCCCCCCCCATAATATCAGTTCGGATCCAGATATTCAAGAAATATTTTACATCTTAGTCATTTTTCAAGGATGAATTAACACCTCTATTCTTTAATAAAAGGCATCTCCTGATCAGGAAACTAAAGTTACACAGCCAGGAGATGCCTTTTCTTAATATATCCACCTGATCGCAGCACAATTTCACCTTTATACTATTTTTTCAGATCAATTCTTTGCTAAAGAATTCTTAGTTCCAGTTAAAGACTTTTCCTCCTTCAATGTTTACATCTCGGTGGTAGTAACTTTGTTAGAATAAACATGTTTTCGTGATCCCTTGTTGACAACATTGTAACAAAGTATTTATTATTTTATTAGCAGAGTATTATTTTTTTATTTTTTTATTTTGCTATACTCTGTACACTTCTCTCTTTTACTTATCTTTTGTTTATCACTCATAGTTTTTTC